CTTACAGTGGACTAACCCTAACCCTGGCCTAAAAATAACACAGAGATTGTTGAGAGACACAGAGAGACATGGACTGACAATGAGAAAAGAGACCGGGAGACAGACAGAAAGAGAGAGAAGGAACACATGGTCAAAGAAAACATCAAGATGAGCCAAGACACCTGGACGAGGACAAGGATTTAGTCATGTACAGCGACTTCTATCGTCTTGACTGGAGATTTCCTACTAACCAGAACAGATTTCTTTATCTAGGTCCAAGCTCGTGTGTGTGTGTGTGTGTACTGGTATGTTTGTGTGTTCCACCTCCTGGGAGCCCTGCGGGCATGCTCACTACGGCCCAGCTGTAGTAAACAAACAGGAACAAGCAAAGCATGCCACAACACAGACTGAGGGAACAGAACATAGCAAAAGGCCCACATTACAACAGCCACTAATTTGACAGAGCTCAGTTATCTCTCTATCGTCTGTCAACACTCAGAGTCTTAAAATCTGACAGAAGGATGTGTCGTCTTTCCCCACTTACAGCTTGATAATGTGTGGGTGTCTGAACAGTTTGAGATTCTGGATCTCTCGTTTGATCTTCCCAACAACATCGAGACTGCGGATCTTTTGTCTGTTTAGGATCTTTACAGCCACTTTATGGCCTGTCAGCTGGTGCTCGCCGACTGAAAACAAAAGAATACAGATATGAAGCAGATACAGCACACAGATAGTAATAGTAAGGGCTCATACACAGCACAGGCAGTTAGGCATGAGATATACAGATGCCCAAAGAGAGGCACTAATGGGTTAAGGTTTGATTTGGATATCTGTTGCATGGCAGGCTTCAACAAAACAGTAATTTATTATTATTATTATTATTACAGGTTTTTGGCCTTCTATAGCCATTATTTTCTGGCAACTATCAGCCTGCATGAGGCCCTGAAGCCATGTTGTTACTGTAGCTGCCAACCCCTACTCACAGTTTCACTACAAACATGAGTTATGAAGCATTAAAAGGTAGAAGGCTGGATGAACTGGTCCAACTCCCACCTAGGGAGTACCCTAAGACACACATTTGATTCAGTTCGGTATAAAAACAATATGATGAACGCGTTAGATAAGCAGCCATGACTCCAGGTGGGTTTACCCCCGTTAAGCTAACACATCCCTCAAACTGCGCACACAAGAAACAGGCGGTGAGAGCGACAAGTTATAGCTCACAAGGTCATGCAGAGTGCCCGCAAACTAGCTAAAAAAACTCAAATAATATCCTTTGTTAGGCCTCTTCAGTAAAACTTTACTCCTGTAAAGCATGTTTCCGACTCAACAGGCCGCCACTGGCTGACATTAGGATAATATCAGAACAGCCCCGGCGTTTAGAAACATTTTGTCACTTAACTTAAGAACATTAAGCTCAGATGCTGCTGTAAGCTTTACGTACGTCCTTTACTGCAAGACGGGGCAAATAAACCTACAAACTCTCTCATTGTTTAACGTTAAACGGTAATAATGTGAGTATGACTGTGCACCTCCTTGTAGCTGTTGTCCTCCAGGTAATTACACCTGCCATAGCTGATAACAGTAGCTAACGTACACACAGCGGCTTCGGTGAAAGAATTTGACTTTCAAGCGAGCAGATTCTCAGAACGCATTTACGCTTTAAATCCCTTCTGTCGCAACCGTTAAACCGACCAGCTACGCTAACTGCTCACTGACCACCGGTACGTTCGACGCTGTCAGTTGAAGCGGGGGGTGGGCGCAGAATACTTCATATTACTCTAACAGAAAGGCGCAAACATACACATTAAACTCGGTACGACACAAAAGCATCACTTAACTCTTCACTTTCCCGAATGTTCCCACTCCGAGCGTGTCGCCGAGGATGTAATGGCCGATCTTTACCCTGCCTTCGTGTTTCTGTTGTTGCCGCTCTGCCATCTTCTCCGTTACCGACGGCTGGGCTGGCTCGGTGTGGTGGGTGTGCTGCCTGCCCGTTGGGGCTCTGCGCGGAGGGGCGGGGCGCGTCGCCTCTCCCACTGCGAGGAAGGGGAGAACCACCGCGCACTGTAAGGCTCACAGGGAACACTAGCAGAAACATGGAATTGCTATTCCGAGGACAGACATCTGTCGCAAAGCGTAGCTTGTGGGGCATTACAAGGCATTATCCCCTCCAAGAGGTGTTATCCCTCCAGCAGCCCAGTATACCCCCGTACAGTGTGCATCTCCCACCGACCCGGTGTAGTGGCGAGTTTAGCACCCCAGTCAATTACCTACCGAGATACCTACGAGAGGTCTACTGGACAGCCCAGTGTAACCCTACTAAGCGACTGAGATTGTGTAAGGTGGCACATTATAAATCAGTTGCCTTTAAGGACCAGTGTGCATTGGAAATCATTTGGACTGGATGCTGTTTGTGTAGTATTAAAGCATTTATTTTAATGTAAAACAATCTGCCTCTGGAGTAGTGAGCAACACAATCAATGCATTTACTGATATGTTTGGGTTATACAGCCTAATATATATGTCTGCTATATGTGATAATAAACGAAATGTTAACAGAAGACCAATGCATGCTTTAGTCACTGCTGTGTGTCTTTGTTTTGGGTTTGTACTGTAGGTCAGCATTGATTAGTGTTCCCTGTATGTTTGTGGACTATCAAGCAGGTCTGTAAGGTCAGTCATATTGTCATTGTTATTCTCACAAATAGGTGGATCCCATCTTGTTCATGTCCTCCCTGAGGTCATATGACGGTCATATTAATTATTATTATTATTATTTTGTTGGCCCCCAATCTCTACCATTTAAGTCTCAGATGTTTCAAAAACCAACAACTCAGATTTTATTTAAAAGCCTCAGATTGTTGGTAATCATCTGGAACAGTATGGGCTGTTAAAACAATGGTCGGAAAAGTGAGGGGAAAGGTGTGTTGCAAACAACATTGAGGCGAGTCGTTTACATTTAACCACTAGGTGGCAGTGCACGTTCAATGTATCCAGATTTAGTGTGACTCTTGGAACCAGTGGAGTGGTGCCTGGAGAAGTTGGTATTCTTTTCATTTATGCTCAAATTAGTTTTTAAGCGGCCTGTCCAGTAAGGGATAAACGCCCTGTTACAAACAATGACATGTAAGACTATATTTAGTGTAACCCAACACGTTTCCATAGTAGCCTGGTTTGCACATTCGTCGTTAACCTCTGCTGCTTGAGTTCAGCAGTATATGCATTATTAGCCAGTGCCCCATTTAAAGGGTGCACGACTTTCGTAAGTCAATACTGAGAATTAACTTATATAAATTAGTGTACTTTAAGTTTAAGTTATTTTTCCTCCATCCAGTCAATAAAAACTGGTGTGATGCCTTCGCCGATCCTAGGAAAAAGAAAAACATCTTGCAGAACACCTGCTAAATGATGGCATCAGAGGGATTCAAGGGTTGGGTATTACCCAATGCTTACTGAACAAAGAAATGTGCGTACCCTCTGCACTACACCACTGCGTAGAACTGCTGCTGCTCCTGTCATGTGCATATGGCTTGAGCCCTCTCTCAAATAGGAAAGCATTTGTGGAGCTGGTGTTTATCGAAGTTAGAATATAAGCACCAATTCCCATACCTTTTAAGAAACAGAAACGGATAGTGTGTGCCTGGTTGGACTCAGATGAGACTTTCCACTGGTACATTTGTATTGTTGAAATACAAAATGTTGATTAAATAGATGAAAAGGTTTGTTTTTGTCCTTTTCCTATTCAGCGAGTCCCCATTACACATTTCCCCAGAAAACGAATTCAATATAGTACACACATAATCTTCTTGTTTTTCGTCTTGTTTAGGATGTAATGGCGAATTAAATATTACTTTATAATATATGTAATATTATTAAATGGCCAAAATGTATAGTTTTTTTTCCATATGGGATTACAACATAAACATTACCCGAAGAAACACAGGCCTACTGGAAAATAAGGAATTGCTTTAATTATTCTGAGGATGAAGAGAGCAGCTCCCCGTTTCCAATAACACGACCACTGAGCCGCTATCGCTCTAGTGCGCATGTCGTACCTCGCTGACCCGCTGGGGGCGCTGTGCATCCGCGCTGCTCTTTGACCCCCCCTCCTGGTCTCCAGTCTGAGAAAGTTTTCCATGCAGGGATGGAGGTGATTACCCACCGCTAGCAGAGAGAAGAGGGCTGAGCCTTGAAGCTGCTGGGGGAACTGGAAGAGAGCAGGGGGAGGAGGAGGAGAAGAAGAAGGATTGATATAACAAGAGCGGCTGTCGGTGCGCAGCGCAATTCTCACTCACTTCAAGTGTTTGAAACAGGAGCGATAAAGGGGAGCGGGCTTTCCATTCATTTCGAGCGCAGCCAACTGTTCTTTCTTGAGTCCGTGGCGCGGGTCCGTTCACCAGATACTAATACTCATATATATTTTTTTATTTTTTTTAAACTAAAAGTACGAGACATCAGCAGTTTTGAAACTTTACGAGACCTCCGAGTTGGGAAGTTTTGTCTCCCTCTGAATTGCATGACATTTCTTTGAAGGACTTGAGAGCCTGACAGAGTTTCTTCACCTAACGCGTGGTGTGGGATTTTGAGCTGAAACGGGGAGTTCTCAAATGCAAAAGTACATGTATGAGAAAGCAATGGCCCAAGAGACAAGGAACGGAGGAACCTCTACGTTAAACAACAACAACGGTGTTGACAACAGTAAGAAGAAGCTGCTCATAGCGCTGGACATCATCTGTCTTCTACTTGGTAAGTTTATGATCAGGTTGAGGCTGTTTATTCGCCTCTGTTATAATTTGAATTGTTTACTTTTTTTTTTGGCGCACATCAGCTGATTTGGACCACAGGCCACTTTAAACTCACACGAAGAGCAGAAACAATAAATACATTAAACAGGACCCGCGCATTCTAATTGTCCGGCAATAAAAGCCTTATCGTTTTAAAAGTACTGCCAGTTATCTGCGGCCACAAGACAACTTAATCATCAGACATCCCCTTATCATCCAGCTCCAACGCCATGCCGGGGGAAGAAGCGCGGAATAAAAAACTGACCGCACTCAAAGGTTCAGGCTTTCATGTTAGAAAACAAATACAGTTTATAGAATAAACACAGACATGTTTATGAGCACATTCATAAATGTATGCATACAAGAAAAACGTGTGCTGTCTGACTGCCATGGTGACTCTCAGCTGAGACAGCAAGATAAAAAAAATACAATATTATTGATCATCTCAAAGTCCACAGAGCATCACTTGGACCCTATCAGTTGATGCTCCTGCTGCCTGCCAACATGCCTAGGGCATAAATGTTTTGAAGTGTTGTAACCTGCCCTTTTACTGCCCTTTAAATAGCCTGTGACAGCCCTCCTGTGCCCTCATAACCTTGTTCGTCTGACCCCAAACCTCCAGAAGTGCCATTCCAGCTGGAGCCACCCATACATAGAGATGCAAGTAAAAATCGAAGCGTAATTAAGGTATTGATTCATAGCTGATGAAACTGTCACCGAAGCGGAGGCGACGTTTGGGGTCTTTACTGCTCTGATTTGCTCCAACAGGCAAATTGTTCGTAATGTAGAGTTTGTGTGTTAGTCCTAACTTGTTATTCCGCTGGTGTCCCATCCAGATTCAGTGTGTGTGTGTGTGTGTTGCTTTGATAGCTGGTTTGTTTTTGGCTGTTGTCACTGTAGCCCAGTCCTTTTAGTTTCAAGCTCCAGTGGCCCCCCTTTCTCTTCTCTCTGTTTTCAATCCCTCCGTCTCTCCTTTCTCTCTTTTAGAAAAGGATTATGGGAGTTGCGCTGTAACTTCTACACATTCTCTCCCAGAACCCTGCAAATCCCTGGCCAGCTGCCCCTGATCACTCCACTTCAAATTACTTTCTCTCTCCCTCTCTCTCTCTGTAGCTTTCTATCTTGCCCTACTTCTCCCTCTCTGTCCAGGGGACTGTGTGGAATAATTGCTTAAGCATGTGTTGTGGCAAGGGAATGCCTCTCCAATCTAACAGAGGGAGATGGAGAGGCGGGACGCGTGGCTGACCAGGCATTAGAGGAGCAGGTGGGAGCCACACCAACAGTTTTATATGGAGAAACTGAAGCATCAACGGTAGTAACAAAATATGCAACATCGCCACACAGGAACAGGATTTTATTACCCAGGATGTTACAAATGGTGCAGATTAACTCCACATTCTCTTAAGTGCTCTGTAGTCGAAACAGATCTGCTTGACAGACACAGAGTTTTCCAGTGGGTTTATATTGGTTTTGCTTATTAAAGAACCTCAGAGAGAGATACACTGTTTCATCTGCACCCATATACATGTAGATGAGCTTTGAGCACATGTGGAGTGAATTTCCTGAATAAACCAACTTCCTTCACTGGTAAAGATTCTACAGTCGGCTCCTCTTTGCCATGTTAGGATAACACGCACACACACACAAACACACATATGCATGTAAACACACAAATGGTCACACAGATTCTCCTTTGTCATGCTAAACACAATCTGGCTGCTCATTGATGATTGGTTGGCCCACTTTAGTGGTTTTGGGGGGGTTACACATTGGGGGTTCAGTGGGTGGAGGGACAGGGGAGTTAAAAGAGAGAAGAATAAAGACCAGGAGAAAGGGGGGTTATCAGGGGGTCCTGAATGAGGAACGAGGAATGTGGGTGTGTGGAGGGCTCAGAAGAATGTCTGATCTTGAATAGGTTTTTGCTCTGTGTGCGTATCAGAACAAGGTGGTGTACACTATACAGCTAGTTAATGCATAAAAATCTCATTACCTTTAATTAGCTCCTATCTGCCAGCTGGTGCTACACACACAGTCTATGCAGTGACACCTTCCTATAGGTTGTCACACACCCTCAGGCACTGCTAATTGTTCTGTTTGCATAAAGGCCATCTGAGGCCATCTATAATCACACACACCGACACATGTGTACAAACTAAAAAAAATGGTTCTTTCTTTGTGTTGCCTCTGCTAATCAACTCTAATCATGCATAAACACAACAGGATCAGAATGGTAATGAAAATGTATACACACACACACACACACACACACAGAACTCAGCTGCTGAGACCAGAGTTACAGTGTACAGTTTTGGCAGCTGAGCACAAGAATCATCTGCTGATTTCACTTTGGCTCCGGTTCCACTCTCACTGAGCAGCAGAGTTGATTTAGCGATGCTATAAGGAGCACACACAAACGCCATACACTCCCTATAAATACACAAACGCCACCGCAGACTGCAGAATTTCATTCTTCTCATTTTCTCTGTCTCACATGCACTCATGAACATGGCTATATGCTGTCTTGTAGGCTACTATCATCCATTTTAAATGGGATGTTTATTGTGAAAACACATTGACACCCAGTTGAGCTCCCAGGAAACCGTACCTCTAAAAGTAGCCTCACCTAAACCCAGATTAAGTTTTACACAATGCAAAGGAGATTATGCATTGTGTGTTTGCTTGGGCGCATACATTAGTGTCTGTCTGGGTTTGGAAGCTATTCAGAGTTTGAGCTGCAGGGGCCTTTTTGCAGAATATAAACATGGATTGGCCAGGTTTGGCTTGGCTGACTTTCAGTCCTGTATGAAGTCTGTCTGGATGTTGCTTTGGTGACCAGTCACTCATATATATATTTTTTTCCATCAGCATCTCAGATTTCTTGCTATCGGTTTTGATCTGTGATACACTCAGGTGTTTGGTGACGAGATTTTCCACGAGTGACAGACGTGGAGATGTTATTAGCAGCAGGGAGGAGTGTAACCTTTTGGCCCCGGGGAATCAGCTTCATAACTGGCCCTGGAGCATTAACCCTATATGGCTGTACACCCAACTCCTGCCTCCCCATTAGCTGCTATAGCATTACAGCAGTCAGTCACACAGCCCCTCATTAAAGCTGGAGAGGTTTAACCTCTACCTCTCCAGGCCTCAGCCACTTCAATCCTGAGCCGCTCTACAAATATTTTCCAGAATTTCTCAAATTCTTCATCTGGCTGTAGTGCCGTGGCCAAAGACTCTTGATGTGACATCTGGTGCAATTTTGGGAGTGTGTGAACCAGGGGGCATGATGTGTGTGTGTGTGTGTGTGTGTGTGCATAGTGGTGCTCAGGAAAGGGTGGGAAACGGAAAGGTAGTGTCGGTCGGAGGTAGGTGTGGTTGTGAAATGAAATCCTGTCCATTTTTTTTTTTTGCCTCACTGCCCATTTCCATTCTTTTCCCCCTTCCTTTCCCTTCCTGCTCCCTCTCCATTTAAGCGTGTCTCCCCTCTTCTTAACTGGTTTTGCACTAATGGAGAGACATGGCATGAAAGATCATGGGTTTTGATATTAAACACATTAGGATGTGGTTAGTTTAGTTTTGTGTATGTGTTATTGAAGTTGAGTAAATATAAAACCATATCTCAGAAACTAATCTATCTGACAAAAAAACACAAGTAGTTTTTGCCTAATCTTTAGTAGAAAACTGTAATCAAACAAGTGGGAGGCCTTCACACACAAACCCAAACACAGGCTCCAGTCCAAAGTTGCTGACCTTAATCTAAGGGCAAATATTGTCAGTCTGTCTGTTCAGGGGCTGACTGAGAAGAGGAGTGCTTTGGACTACCTGGCTAGATATAGATGCCCAAAGAGTAAAAGAGAGGTGGGAATAAGTGGGGGAAAATGGCAATGTGCTGTTCTCTCCATGAAGTCTGACATGTCAAGCCTCACCAATTTGAGTGTTGTAACTCAAAGTAAACATAATAGATAACTTTCTACTAGTTGCCATTAGGCTTTCCTGTCACAAGCTCCCAGAAGGACCATTTGTATTTACGGAAGAAATGTATTAAAGTTTACTATGTGTTTCAGTTCCACTGTTGATGCTCCTCGTAAATCTATTGTTCTGTTTGTCAAATAAGGTCAAAGGTCAGGCAGAAAATAGACTCATATAGGACTGCGGCGGAGTGCCTAAAGCGCTCTGTATGACATTTCCTGGACATTGAATGGACACGCACAGAGTATTATGTGACATCAGTCTCAAGTTTCAGCTCTGACAATAGTCTGATATGGTATTTACAGTGAGATTACATCACTGTATGTATCCCCTTGTGCTATCTGTAGCTGTAGTGGTGGCCTGTGGTGGGTTATGTTGTGTATGTTGTATATGTAGTGGCTGCAGGACAAGGCGAGGTTAGGGCTCTTTAGAAGGTGATGGGTGTCCTCTGGCAGATGACCATCACTGTATTATGTAATAAGATAAAGATCAGCAGATGTTCAGTCGTAGCCATAGGGCTACTAGTCCTTGAAGAATGTATGTAATTTTAAGTGTGCATTTTTGCGTAGATGTATATTTTTGTATGTGTTGTGATGGAGGTTTGTGGTGATATTGTGGCCAAACATTTTCAGCCCGGCGTCATTGTGACATGTGGCTGGTTTCTGCTGGTGCAAGAGTTAAATGACAAACCCTTGGGGTTTGTGTCTGTGCAGAACTGCGATTAGAGGTGTGTGGGTGTGTGCGTGTGCATGTGTGTCCCCTGGGGGTTTATATGGGAGAGGGAGTGCTCAGAGTTGTCATTAGATTGACTCTATGGCCCGAAGGAGTCTGTGTATGTATATGCTTATGTCTGCAATGTGTGGGTGGGTAGCATGTGTGAGGCATCTGTGACTCCATTTGTGTGTGTGCATGTTTGTGTGTGTTCCATGTGGTTCCCCTGGGCTAGCCAAAGGCATCAGGTTGACTGATGTGACTGTGTCTCTTTATGCTGGTATA